AAAATTTTTTCATTTTTTTCCCCCCCCCCCCCCCCCGAAATTCTATGTTTTCCGTTTTAAATTCCATTTTAACGGTTCAAATAAATTTTAATAATCAAAAAGCATGTCTAATTATTGAACTCATAAAACTTTAACAAATAATTCATTAAAATGTTTACAATAATTATTTTTACGATAATGAAATGTTAGATTTTTTTCATAAATTCTGTGTTTGTTTGATTTTGTTTAGTGATCTAACTCTAATGACGACCCAGTGATAATGAGTCTAACGAGCGCGTGCCCATTACCCATGATCCCTCAGCACATCTGCACTCAGATCTGAGTCCAGACTGGCTGCCAAACATCTGGTTTGGCTCTTCAGACGAGCCGTGTGCGTGCCGCCGGGGATTATGGGCCGGCAGCTGCTCATTGTGAGCATAGCTAGTGATGAGAATAGCCTCACTCACCCTGCAGTTACAGCCCAGCTGATAGCGATGATTGATGCCCTTCTTCTGAGCCAGAGACAGACGCTCCCATCGCTCGTTGAAGTTACACAGACCCGTGTACAGCTTCCCGTCATGAACACGACCTGCACAAACACAAACACAACAAACGAGCGGATTCTTTCATCAGTGCTGTCTCTGTAGGTCAGGCGGGTCGAGTCGTCTCGATTAGCCGTGGTGCTCTATATTTAACTGTTTGTGGCTTATGAGCTCCAGCAGAACAGGTGTGTGTCACATGCTTCGCTCCGATAAAACACCACACGCTGACGCACAAACATCTCATTATGCTTCGCTGTGTTTCTGGATACAGAACCATTAATGGGCCAAAATGAGCCACTGCAACTATACTGGAACTGACTGAAAACTAAAAAAAGAATTCAAAAGCTAATGTAATAAAATCAATAAAATATTCATAATATTTAAAAAAAAAAGTAATTTCCCCCCTTTATTCCCTTTTTTAATATTATGTAATATATAATAAAATATGTATTATTTTTTAAATATATAATTTTTCATGAACTGTAATTTATATATAAACATTATATTAAAATGTATATATAATATATTTTATATAAAATATATTTAAATATTTTAAAATATATATTAAATATCTATATCTATAAATTTAGCTTATTTATATTACATAACATAATTATATAAAATATATAACATGAAATCTAA